GCGCCAAAAAGGAGAGGATAGAGAATGAGAGCGCGAAAGACATTAACCTTCATTTGCCGGGTTGGGGTTCTTGGGCTGGAAATGGTGTCAAACAAAGTAAACGCAAACGTAAAAAGTTTACGATTAAAGCCAAGACAAAGGAACGAAAGGACGGCAACATTGGAAATGTGATCATTTCGGAGAAAAACGATGACATTATCGCTAAACATAGAGTAAATCAATTGCCGTTTCCTTTCAAGAATGTGGAAGAGTTTGAGAATAGTATTCGTCAACCGATCGGTCGGACGTGGAATCCAGAGACCGCTTTCAAAGAGTTAACGGAACCCAAAATAGTGACCAAAATCGGAACAATTATCGATCCCATAGACAGCGATGCGTTAGTGAATACTAATCAGAAACGCAAACCATTTAAAAGACGCGACAAAAACAAGAAAAAACAGAATAAATCTAAGAAATAATTATTTGTTTTTTACAATTAAATAAATAAATAAATTATCAAAACCAATCTAAACTCTCTTTTGTTAACCGATTGCATCAGTTCTGCAATTGTTCGCAATGTCTTCCCGTATATCCGACCACACATTTGCAAAGGTATTCGCCGTCAGCTTTCTCTACGTTAATACAAGTGCCAGAATTGAGACACGGGTTTGGGTTATTGAGGCACCAGTTTAGCCGTTCAGAGCACGTAAAGCCACCCCAACCGGGCTCACAGTCACACGTCCAGGGATTGTCAGTACACGAGCCCCTCTCACAACCCGGATATGGCACACATTCCGTACAATTGGACCCTATATTGCATTGAATGTATTAAAATGGTGAGGAATAATACAATTATGGTGTATACCTGTGAAGCCAAGTTTGCATCGACACTCTTTGGGACGTCTACACCATCCATTGGTTCCGTCGCAGCCGTGCGAACAAACGGCTAATCGAGTGATTGTTTTGTTAAATTACTTCTTAAACTTTTGTGTGAATTATGCTTACGTGTGGAGCAAAACATGCCTTCCCAGCCCTCATTGCAATTGCAATCTAACGGCTCGACACACGAGCCGTGTTGACAACCAGGAAGTGTTGAGCATTTGCTACAATTGTCTCCTTCCCATCTATAGTGAGACACGAGATAACGAAAATATTTCAAATAATTTCTATATAAAAGTTAATAAAAATATTATAATTACCCGAATCTACACTTGCATTCTCCCGGAACAGAACAATACCCTAATCAGCGTTTTCAATGATAATGGCATGAGATTTATCGTCTATTAATCATATTTAAAAACAAATTACTAACCATTCTTTGTATCGCAGCCTTCTTTGCATTTAGCTGTGAATCGATTTAAAGTTTAATTAAGTATTTCTAATGTAATTTGCTATTTATATGACATACGTATGGAGCAGAACATTCCTGTCCAGCCCTCTTCACACTTGCACTCCAATGGTTTGGTGCAGAATCCATGAGCACATCCCGGTATTGTCATACAATAATCACAATTAAGACCAGTCCAGCCAAATCTACATTGACACTTTCCAGGCTGTTCGCAATATCTGTCGATAAATTAATATTTAAACTGTAATTTAAAAACTTAAACTCAAATGCAAACCCGTGTGAGGGATGACACGACTCCATGCAAACGGGATCTTCGCACTCGTCTCCCCTCCAACCCATCGGACACTTATCATCGATAGTGGTATTCATATAATTAGAAAAAGTTTGAGATATTCTCCATTTAAACATGAAGTGAACATTTGTTGAATTATTTCGCTTTTGACTACTCTTTCCGCTATAATTCCAATCATTTGTTTCAACACTATTTGAATCAATGCTTAGATTTTTGGTTTCGATATATCTTGTGATGAGTTTGTCATTAGTGTCGGGCTTTTGTTTGTGCCAAACCTCTACTAAAACCAATAGATGCTTATTCTTCAGCTCATCCAACGAATTGTTGAACAATTTCTTAGAACTTATAATAGTTTTCAGTTTAAGAGGCAATGAGTTATTAGTGATGGTATCAGTTGTCCAGAAGGCTATTGAACAAGAAGTGGAAGAACTATTCAATGGTTTAGTATTTCCTGCATTCTTGCCCTCAGCCGGCAATTTGCTCGAAGAAGAAGAACCGAATATTCTGTGAACAAATCACAAATGAGCCCTAATGTGAAATAAATTGGTTTTTACCATAGGGTTCATGTCATACCTGTTTATAATGTTTCGAAACATTCCGGGCTTTTTAGTGGTGGGAATGGTTTGCTCTTCTCGTCGCTCTTTAGGCAATATAATGGTATTCTTTGAGACTTTATTTTGCTGTTCGGATATACAGATCTTCCAATAGGGTCTACACGTGGCGTTACCTCCTCTGCACAGACCACTCGACTTATAACCACTACAACAGTTCCCATTCAATAGCCGCCCGTTTATATTCATGAACTCCAAGACATCGAATTCAACCAAATATTGGCTGTTTTGGCTTTCCTTTAGTTTAACATCAAATTAGATATCATTTTCAAATTGTTTATATATTCTAAACAATAAATAAATTTATGAAAATATTATTTTTGTCACATTTATTATACTTTTAGTAAATTAATGAAAATTAAAATTAAGGAAAAATCAAAATCAAATAATAATAATAATTGTAGTAAAGCTACATCTTTTTATAACTGATAAGTTATGATAAAATAAAAGTTTTTGTAAATAAGCATAAAGTTTGAATTACACGGCAATAAAAGTTAAAAAGTTCATTCAGTAATACATGTATATAATACTATTTAAATTGTGGAAAAGTTCCTGATTTGAAAAAAAAATTAAGAAACAATACAATGAAACTAAGAAATACCTCATAAATATGAGCTCCAATCGTATGGAAAGTGATATGAATGAGACATAATTGAAGACAGAGTTTTACGATATAATTAAACATCACTTAAGACTTATATCACAATAAATACTATTAATTATTATTAGATTCAATACAACTATTGGTTGAAATACATAAATAAAACTGAAGCCCAAAAAGTGTTTTCACTTAGAGTTCAACGACTTCTTCTGAGACTTGTGTTTACGGTTATGACTGAAAACAAAACTTGAAATTGAAGTCTGCGATCAACTCGTAGGACAACTTCAGTGAAAAATAACACCAAAAAGTGTTTTCA